TCCATATATATGTTGGTGGCTATGCTCCATATAGACTGTATAGTTGGTTGGTGGCTATGCTCCATATAGACTGCTTGTTGGCGGCTATGCTCCATATAGACTGTATGTTGTTGTGGCTATGCTCCATATAGACTGTTGGTGGCTATGCTCCATATAGACTGTTGGTGGCTATGCTCCATATAGACTGTATGTTGGTGGCTATGCTCCATATAGACTGTATGTTGGTGGCTATGCTCCATATAGACTGTTGTGGCTATGCTCCATATAGACTGTATGTTGGTGGCTATGCTCCATATAGACTGTATGTTGGTGGCTATGCTCCATATAGACTGCTTGTTGGTGGCTATGCTCCATATAGACTGTTGTTGGGCGGCTATGCTCCATATAGACTGTATGTTGGTGGCTATGCTCCATATAGACTGTGTTGGTGGCTATGCTCCATATAGACTGTTGGTGGCTATGCTCCATATAGACTGTATGTTGGTGGCTATGCTCCATATAGACTGGTTGTTGGTAGCTATGCTCCATATAGACTGGTTGTTGGGCTATGCTCCATATAGACTGGTTGTTGGTGGCTATGCTCCATATAGACTGGTTTGTTGGTGGCTATGCTCCTTATAGACTGCTTGTTGGTGGCTATGCTCCATATAGAAAGGTTGTTGGTGGCTATGCTCCATATAGACTGTTGGTGGCGGCTATGCTCATATAGACTGTATGTTGGTGGCTATGCTCCATATAGACTGTATGTTGGTGGCTATGCTCCATATAGACTGTATTGTTGGTGGCTATGCTCCATATAGACTGTATGTTGGTGGCTATGCTCCATATAGACTGTATGTTGGTGGCTATGCTCCATATAGACTGATTGTTGGCGGCTATGCTCCATATAGACTGTATGTTGGTGGCTATGCTCCATATAGACTGTATGTTGGTGGCTATGCTCCATATAGACTGCTTGTTGGCGGCTATGCTCCATATAGACTGTTGTTGGCTATGCTCCATATAGACTGTTGGTGGCTATGCTCCATATAGACTGGTTGTTGGCGGCTATGCTCCATATAGACTGTTGGTGGCTATGCTCCATATAGACTGTATGTTGGCGGCTATGCTCCATATAGACTGTGTTGTTGGGCTATGCTCCATATAGACTGTTGTTGGTGGCTATGCTCCATATAGACTGGTTGTTGGCGGCTATGCTCCATATAGACTGTTGTTGGCGGCTATGCTCCATATAGACTGTTGTTGGTGGCTATGCTCCATATAGACTGTTGTTGGCGGCTATGCTCCATATAGACTGTTGGTGGCTATGCTCCATATAGACTGTATGTTGGTGGCTATGCTCCATATAGAAAGGTTGTTGGTGGCTATGCTCCCATATAGACTGTATGTTGGTGGCTATGCTCCATATAGACTGTTGTTGGCGGCTATGCTCCATATAGACTGTATGTTGGTGGCTATGCTCCATATAGACTGTTGGTGGCTATGCTCCATATAGACTGTTGTTGGTGGCTATGCTCCATATAGCTATGTGGTTGTTGGTGGCTATGCTCCATATAGACTGTTGTTGGTGGCTATGCTCCATATAGACTGCTTGTTGGTGGCTATGCTCCATATAGACTGTATGTTGGTGGCTATGCTCATATAGACTGTATGTTGGTGGCTATGCTCCATATAGACTGTATGTTGGTGGCTATGCTCCATATAGACTGTGTTGGTGGCTATGCTCCATATAGACTGCTTGTTGGGTGGCTATGCTCCATATAGACTGTTGGTGGCTATGCTCCATATAGAGTGGTTGTTGGTGGCTATGCTCCATATAGACTGCTTGTTTGGTGGCTATGCTCCATATAGACTGCTTGTTGGTGGCTATGCTCCATATAGACTGCTTGTTGGTGGCTATGCTCCATATAGACTGTTTGTTGGCGGCTATGCTCCATATAGACTGGTTGTGGTTGGCTATGCTCCATATAGACTGTTGGTGGCTATGCTCCATATAGACTGTATGTTGGTGGCTATGCTCCATATAGAAGGTTGTTGGTGGCTATGCTCCATAGACTGTTGTTGGTGGCTATGCTCCATATAGACTGTATGTTGGTGGCTATCCATATAGACTGTATGTTGGTGGCTATGCTCCATATGACTCCATCCATATAGACTGTATGTTGGTGGCTATGCTCCATATAGACTGTTGTTGGTGGCTATGCTCCATATAGACTGTTGTTGGTGGCTATGCTCCATATAGACTGTTGTTGGTGGCTATGCTCCATAGAGACTGTTGGCGGCTATGCTCCACATAGACTGGTTGTTGTTGGCTATGCTCCATATAGACTGTTGGTGGCTATGCTCCATATAGACTGTATGTTGGTGGCTATGCTCCATATAGAAAGGTTGTTGGCGGCTATGCTCCATATAGACTGTATGTTGGTGGCTATGCTCCATATAGACTGTATGTTGGCGGCTATGCTCCATATAGACTGTATGTTGGCGGCTATGCTCCATATAGACTGTTGGTTCTTGTCCATGTTGGTGCTACTGCTCCATGTTGTTGGCGGCTATGCTCCATATAGACTGTTGGTGGTGGCTATGCTCCATATAGACTGTTGGTGGCTATGCTCCATATAGACTGTTGGTGGTGGCTATGTCCATATTGGTGGCTATGCTCCATGTAGACTGTTTGTTGATCCGCCAGAAATCTTGTGAGATGATCACTTCTTGTGTGTTTCTTTTTCTTATCCGTTACATTGTTTTCAGCTATCCCTACAGATTCAATACAGTGTGTTGTCACCCCGGGGCAGGAGTGCATTTCTGGCGGGATCACCACCTATAAATAGAGGAAGTTAGTGCCGGATCGAGGGACATGTCAGAAGGGGGCGTGTTCTTCCTGGGATTATACGGACTGTACAGTGATACATCTTGTGTATATTACTGATCCTTCCATACCTCTCATACCTGCCAGGACGTGGGGTGTAAATGGGGTGTAACATGGGGTGTACATGAGGGTACGTGGGGTCCATGGGGTGTACATGGGGTGTTCATGGGGTGTCCATGGGGTGTAAATAAATGGGGTGTCCATGAGGTGTACATGGGGTGTACATGGGGTACATTTGGGGTGTCCGATCACATGGTCCAATCCAGTGCTGGATATTTACTCCCAACAACTCCCCCTTATTGTTACCTGATTATACCCCCTGTCCTCAATATTACCCCCCCCCCAATATCCACCCCTTTATAATCAATATTGCCCATTACCTACCCAAATAATACCCCTTTGTCCCTCCAAATAACACCCTTCATCCCCCATATTATACCTCTTATACCCCAAATTTTACACCTCATCCCCCATATAGTACCCCGTTATACCCAAATATAATACTTCTTATACCCCTCATAAAATACTGACTTGTCCCTCGATATATAATACCCCTCATCCCCCATAAATTACCCCCTTGTCCCCCCATATGATACCCCCTCATCCCCCATGTAATACCCCCTTTGTCCCCCACATGATACCCCTCATCCCCCATGTAATACCCCCTTGTCCCCCCATATGATACCCCCTCATCCCCCATGTAATACCCCCTTGTCCCCCCATATGATATACCCCCTCACCCCCCATGTAATACCCTTTTCCCCCCATGATACCCCCTCATCCCCCATGTAATACCCCCCTTGTCCCCCCATATGATACCCCCCTCATCCCCCATGTAATACCCCCTTGTCCCCCCATATGATACCCCCTCATTCCTCTATATAATACCCCTTTATCGCCTATCATCAATAATACCCCCATCACCCTCCAAATCCTTCATTATTATACCCCTGATCCTCCATAGTACTCCCTCCCCCACTCCACAATACCCCTTACTCTAAATAATTCCCCTTTATCCCCCCCAATTCTAATGCCCCTTAACTCCAATAATACCCCCCCCCCGCCATATAATACACCTTATTCTGTGATACCCCCACCCCCCTGTGTAACCCTCCCCCCCACCCAACATTCTCCTAATCCTTAATAATACCCCCCCCCTGTATTATACACCTTATTCTGTAATACCCCCACCCCCCTGTGTAACCCTCCCCCCACCCAACATACTCCTAATCCTTAATAATACCCCCCTGTATTATACACCTTATTCTGTAATACCCCCACCCCCCTGTGTAACCCTCCCCCCCCCACCCAACATACTCCTAATCCTTAATAATACCCCCCCCCCCGTATAGTATACCTCATTCTGTGATACCCCCACCCCTTGTGTAACCCTCCCCCCACCCAACATACTCCTAATCCTTAATAATACCCCCCCGTATATAATACACCTTATTCTGTGATACCCCCACCCCCCTGTGTAACCCTCCCCCCACCCAACATACTCCTAATCCTTAATAATACCCCCCCCCCGTATAGTATACCTCATTCTGTGATACCCCCACCCCTTGTGTAACCCTCCCCCCCACCCAGCATACTCCTAATCCTTAATAATACCCCCCCCCCCCCGTATAATACACCTTATTCTGTGATACCCCCACCCCTTGTGTAACCCTCCCCCCCACCCAACATACTCCTAATCCTTAATAATACCCCTCCGTATAATACACCTTATTCTGTGATACCCCTCCACCCCCCTAATCCTGTGTAAACCCTCCCCCCGTATAATACACCTTATTCTGTGATACTCCTAACTCCTAATCCTTAATAATACCCCCCCGGAAGCTGCTATTAGCAGGGGGGGGGGGATTTTGGGAGTTCCCGGTACAGTCTGAGTACTATTGCCATGGCTGCTGGACATTTGAATGTTCTGGAAGTGGAATGAATAAAGTCGATTTGTAAACAATCTGAATCAGCGATCGCTCTGTGTAGCCATAGTCATTGTAACTCTGAAATCAGAACTGTCCGTGTGCCCCGATTGCAGCCAATGAGTTTTTGCGCTCCCAGTACAGGTGCGCGCCGGACCGCTGACCGGTTTTATTTGCGATGCTGATAATTGTCCCCAGATCTGACGGTTTGTGTTCTCCCGGCAGATTCGGAGCACAGCACCAGCTCGGACACCGAGGTCCTGGCGGAGAGGACGTCCTGCTCCTATGAATCCTGCCCGGATCTGGCTCCTCCTCGGGTCCCCGATCCCCAGACTCTGTCGGTGTCCTCTATGGATGAGATCCAGGTGGAGCTGCAATGCGCTGACCTCTGGAAGAGATTCCACGACATCGGCACCGAGATGATCATCACCAAAGCGGGCAGGTGGGTGTCATGGCGGCTACACGTACATCAGGCCGTCTCCATCCATCATCAATGTTGCCTAGTTGCTTCTTGAGACGTCACCCGTCTGATCCCCCCGCTCTCTCAGCACGTTTCCTGTGTACATGCTTTCAGATACTGCGCGGAAGGCATGTGCTGTACAAAAATGATTGGGTTCAGTCAGATCTGTGGAGAATATTAAGAATTAATATCCATTTGTAACACAAAAGTGAAATTGTTCTGTAAAGCCGACTGACCTTTGAATACCTTCCAGGTGCAAGCAGTGGTCTCTCTGCAGAGGTCAGAACGCCCCCCCCCCCCCCGAGTCAGAGCTGGAGATCTGCAATCAACAGAGCAAAGGCTTTTGAAGAATTCTGACTCAGCAGGGTGCTTGTTGGACTTCTGCAGAGAGACCACTGCTTCAACACGGAGCACAAAGGTCCTTCACTGCAGCATGCTGGCCAAGGACAGGCTATCCAGGGGCAAGCAGTGGTCTCTCTGCAGAGATCAGATACACCCCCCCCCCCCTTTCTGAGTCAAAGCTCGAGATCTCAGTTCATCAGGGATCATGAGATTTGCTGATCGGAGAGCTCTGACCCAGTAAGGTGCTTGTTGGACTTCTGCAGAGAGACCGCTGCTTCCACACGGAGCACAAGGGTCCTTCACTGCAGCATGCTGGCCAAGGACAGGCTATCCAGGGGCAAGCAGTGGTCTCTCTATTGTAGTGCAAGCAGGGACGGCCTGTGTGAGAGTGACAACCCTGCTCTGAGTTTCAGAACAGTGCAGCTTTGTTGTCACCTCATCACAGGAAGCTGCATTAGGCGAACTGCAGTGGCAGGATCACTCTCAGGCGTGTGCGTGAAGTGCGACATATATGTACACTGAGCTGGTCATGTGTGGCTCAGTGTATGCAAATGCTGACAGCCATGGGGGTGGGGTTTATGATAGACGAGACCAATAGGGTCATAAAAATCCTGTAGGGAATTTTTTCGTTTTTTAGGTTTAAAGTCCCACATGGAAATATTTGAAATATATTTTAAAAATATTCTTCCCAAATATATTGACATATATTTGAAATACTACAATTTTGTCCGTATTCAAAATATTTCAAAATATATATATATATACTGCATGTTGAAATGGGTTTTTATTGCAAAATATATGAAATATATTTTTAAAAATAAATTTTAAAATATACTGCATGTCTTTGCAAATACAAATCTACATTTTTGGAATGCATTTACAAATATATGTAAAAAATATGTTAAAATGACTTTTTAAAATATATTCTTCAGTTTTTTTTAACATATAAAAAAAGTAATTTTAATATATTTGTAAATGCGTTCCAAAAATGTAGATTTGTATTTGTAAAGATATATAAAAATCTTGTATAGTAATAATAATAATAATAATAATATGTGAGAATTTACTTTTAAAAATATTTTTTTTTATATATTTTGTAATAAAAACGCATTTCAACATGCAGTATATATATATATATATATATATATATATATATATATATACTTATAAAATATATTTTTAAATATATTGAATACGGACAAAATTGTAGTATTTCAAATACATGTCAATAATATTTTTAAAATATATTTCAAATATATTTTGAAATACTACAATTTTGTCCGTATTCAATATATTTAAAAATATATATAAGTATATATATATATATATATATATATATATATATATATATACTGCATGTTGAAATGCGTTTTTATTACAAAATATATAAAAAATATTTTTAAAAGTAAATTCTCACATATATTATTATTATTAATTACTATACAAGATTTTTATATATCTTTACAAATACAAATCTACATTTTTGGAACGCATTTACAAATATATTAAAATTACTTTTTTTATATGTTAAAAAAAACTGAAGAATATATTTTAAAAAGTAATTTTAACATATATTTGTAAATGCATTCCAAAAATGTAGATTTGTATTTGTAAAGACATACAGTATAAAAATCTTGTATTATAATAAATAATATAAAAATTTATTTTTAAATATTTCTCATATATTTTGTAATAAAAACGCATTTCAACATGCAGTATATATATATATGTATTTTTTTTTTTAAAATATATTGAATACGGCCAAAATTGTAGTATTTCAAATACATGTCAATAATATTTTTAAAATATATTTCAAATATATTTTGAAATACTACAATTTTGGCCGTATTCAATATATTTAAAAAATAAAATATATATATATATATACTGCATGTTGAAATGCGTTTTTATTACAAAATATATGAACAATATTTTTAAAAATCAATTTTCACATATTATTATTATTATTATTATTATAATACAAGATTTTTATACTGTATGTCTTTAAAAATACAAATCTACATTTTTGGAATGCATTTACAAATAGATGTAAAAAAAATATGTTAAAATGACTTTTTTAAATATATTCTTGTTTTTTTTTAACATAAAAAAAGTAATTTTAACATATTTTTTTGACATTTATTTGTAAATGCATTCCAAAAATGTAGATTTGCATTTTTAAAGACATACAGTATATTTTAAAATTTATTTTTAAAAATATATTTCATATATTTTGCAATAAAAACGCATTTCAACATGTAGTATATATATGGGCAGAGGTGAGCTCCGGCCGCCCCCCGGGCAACACTCACCGGTCAGCGGAGGCTCCTCCTTTCTACCGGTTCCGGCCTGTGTCTGCCCTGCAGATCCGGCGGGCCACCACCCCCTCATGGATTGGATCCCATCCACCCACCCCCGCCCTCCCGAAAAATGCCACCAAGGCAAACGCCTAGTTTGCCTTGCTGTAAATGCGCCCCTGCCTCGTGATCCAGCACTGCGTTCATCTGCAGCGACTCTCTCTGTTCACAGGGGCAGCAGTGGGAGCCATTGGCTCCTGCCGCTGTCAATCAAATCCTTCAAGCAGGGGATGAGGCTGAGCCACGCTGTGTGTGTCAATAGATGCGCATAGCCCAGCTGGGGAGCTAGCCAGCAGGTCCCCCCCCATAGGAAGCGGCTTCCTATGGTGCCACAGCAAGAAGAGGAGCTAGGACCACCAGCGGGGAGGAGGATTGGAGCCGCTCTGTGTGATACTATTACACAGAGCGGGTCGGTATAACATTTTTACTTTTTTAATTAAAAACATTTTTTTAAAAAAGCTTTTGTTTCAATTTAAATTCTGCTGAACATTTTTTTTTAGATGGGCTGCCAATAGGATCTTTTTTTCTTTTTTGGATATTTGTGCGATTTAATAAAGTTGTATCTTTCTTTCTTTGTAACATTTTAGGAGAAGTGATAGTTCCCCCCCCCCCCCCCCCCAAAGTGTCAGTTGTGTAGGAAATAAAATGGGGAAACCCGGCTGGAATAGCAGAAAGCTGCTAATCTGAATGTCTGGGCGACTAATCCCCATTGTGTGCCTGGCTGGTTAATGATCCGCCGGGGTCAGAGGTCGGGTAACAGGAGAGAAATAAATTACAATGTTTATGTAACCACATTAACCTGCCCGGGATAGGAGCTGTAGATCACCCGCATCTGGTCTGGAGGTTTCACTGTGTTACTAGTAGGACTGGAGCGTTAAAGGATATGAGAAGGAAAACTATTTTTTTTTCTTAGTTTGGAATAGAATGGTGAAGGGTTAGAACCTCTGCTGCTATTTATTTGTCCTGATGGCCACGTCACTAAAAACTGAAATTGAGTAGAAATCCAACATTGTAGAGTTGTCACCAAAACAAGAGGTGAGGGGAACAACTGTTCCTGTGATAGCTCCGAGGGGCGTTCAAGTCAAACCAATCCAATATTGTAGAGTTGTCACCAAAACAAGAGGTGAGGGGCAAATCTTCGAGGGGAACAACTGTTCCTGTGATAGCTCCGAGGGGGTGTTCAAGTCAAACCAATCCAACATTGTAGAGTTGTCACCAGAAGAAGACGTGAGGGGAAACCTTCAAGGGGAACAACTCTTCCTGTGATAACTATGAGGGACATTCAAGCCAAACCAATCCAACATTGTAGAGTTGTCACCAGAAGTAGTGAGGGGAAACCTTCAAGGGGAACAACTCTTCCTGTGATAACTATGAGGGACGTTCAAGTCAAACCAATCCAACATTGTAGAGTTGTCACCAGAAGAAGTGAGGGGAAACCTTCAAGGGGAACAACTCTTCCTGTGATAACTATGAGGGACATTCAAGCCAAACCAATCCAACATTGTAGAGTTGTCACCAGAAGTAGTGAGGGGAAACCTTCAAGGAGAACAACGCTTCCTGTGATAACTATGAGGGACGTTCAAGCCAAACCAATCCAACATTGTAGAGTTGTCACCAGAAGTAGTGAGGGGAAACCTTCAAGGAGAACAACTCTTCCTGTGATAAACTATGAGGGACGTTCAAGCCAGACCAATCCAACATTGTAGAGTTGTCACCAGAAGAAGAAGTGAGGGGAAACCTTCAAGGGGAACAACTCTTCCTGTGATTAACTATGAGAGGTGCTCAAGTCAAACCGATCCAATATTGAAGAGTTGTCACCAAAACAAGAGGTGAGGGGAAACCTTCAAGGGGAACAACTCTTCCTGTGATTAACTACGAGAGGTGCTCAAGTCAAACCGATCCAACATTGTAGAGTTGTCACCAGAAGAAGAAGTGAGGGGAAACCTTCAAGGGGAACAACTCTTCCTGTGATAACTATGAGGGACATTCAAGCCAAACCAATCCAACATTGTAGAGTTGTCACCAGAAGTAGTGAGGGGAAACCTTCAAGGGAAACAACTCTTCCTGTGATAACTACGAGGGGTGTTCACGTCAAACCAGGACTTTTCCAGGTATAACGAACGAAGGCGTAAAACCTCGCAATACCTACAGAAGACTTCTAGCACAGTACGGTGATGAGACGTTCAGCCGCAGTAAGATATTTGAATGCTGGAAACATTTCAAAGATGGCTGTACGTCCATCAGTGACGAACCCGGCTGTGGTGGTTCGCAGCCCACAGCAGTCATTCCTGTGAACATTTGGCGTGTGGATCCTGGGTCATCGACGCAACACCTGTTGCACCTTTCTGTGGGAATGGTGACTCAATTGTGCTATCCTAACCTCTTGGTAACCGTTTGGTGAAGGCCTTTTTATGTTCCACCATGACTGTGTCCCTGTGTACAAAGCCAGCCCCATAAAGATGTGGTTTGGCCAGTGTAGTGTGGAGAAACTCGAGTGTCCTGCACGGGGCCCTCACCTCAACCCTAGTAAACACTAGGCCTTCTCATTCAACATCCGTACCTGACCTCACAAATGTTCTTATGGCTTAATGGACAGTTTTGTGGGAAACCTTCCTAAAAAAGTAGAGCCATCTCCATAAAGACATGGTTTGACCAGTTTGGTGTGGAGGAACTCGAGTGTCCTTTACAGAGCCCTGACCTCAACCTTTCTGAACACCATTGGGATGAGTTGGAATACTGATGATGAGCCAGGTCAGCACTAGGACTTCTCATCCAACATTCGTACCTGACCTCACAAATGTTCTCATGGCTTAATGGACACAAATTCCCACAGGCACATTCCACAATTTTGTGGGAAACCTTCCTAAATGAGTGGAGCCATCTCCATAAAGATATGGTTTGACCAGTTTGGTTTGGAGGAACTCAAGTGTCCCTTAGAGAGCCCTGACCTCAAACCTAGTAAGCATTAGGCCTTCTCATCCAACATCAGTACCTGACCTCACAAATGTTCTCATGGCTTAATGGACACAGATGCCCACAGGCACATTCCACAATTTTGTGGGAAGATTTCTTAAAAGAGTGGACCCAGCTCCATAAAAACACGGTTTGACCAGTTTGGTGTAGAGGAACTCAAGTGTCCTGCACAGAGCCCTGACCTCAACCCTTCTGAACACCTTTGGGATAAATTGAACCACTGATGGTCTTCTCATCCAGCATCAGTTCCTGACCTCACAAATATGCTTTTGGCTTAATGGACTCAAATTCCCTCAGGTACATTCCACAGTTTTGTGGGAAGCCTTCCTAAAAGAGTGCAGCCAGCTTCATAAAGACATGGTTTGACCAATTTGGTGGGGAGGAACTCAAGTGTCCTTTACAGAGCCCTGAGTTCAGCCCTACTGAACACCTTTGGTGAACCAGGTCTTCTCATCCAACATCAGTACCTGACCTCACACATGGGCACCAATTATGCAGGCACCATCAAACTGAAGGACAATAAGCCACAGTTCAAGGTAACCCTAGGAAGCTGTGGAGAAATATTAATGTTCCATGGATGCCTGGTTGAGATGGTTCCATTAGATAGTCAACAGTATGATGATAGGGATTCATTGGTACTAAAAAACCAATGCAAACTTTGAACAACAAAAACATTATAATAAATGAATATTAATATATTTATTAAGTGTATAACCAGAGACATAAAATGTCACTGCCTGGTACTTGTTGGATGGTTGGGATTGCCCTCACTCCTTGCCTTGTTCTCATCTTGTAGGAGAATGTTCCCAGCCATGCGGGTGAAGATCTCCGGATTGGACCCCCACCAGCAGTATTACATTGCGATGGACATCGTACCTGTGGACAACAAAAGATACAGGTAATCTATCTATATCTGTATCTATCCATCAAATGATCACGAACCATCATGTAAGAGTGTGTGTCCACCTAGAAAGGTCTTCAAAACCCTTTAGAACCTGCAGGAACTATCCGTCTAATGCCTACAGGTCCTTCAACAAATGACTCTCCTCTCTCTCTCTCTCTCTCTCTCTCTCTCTCTCCTCTCTCCCAGGTACGTCTATCACAGCTCCAAGTGGATGGTGGCTGGGAATGCTGACTCGCCCGTCCCTCCCCGCGTTACATCCACCCGGACTCCCTGGCCTCTGGGGACACCTGGATGAGGCAGGTGGTCAGCTTTGATAAGCTCAAACTCACCAACAACGAGCTGGACGATCAGGGACATGTAAGTGCCATCTGCACCTTTCGAATGTTTGTCACTTGGGGGGTGGTAAAAGTGGGGGAGGGGGTTCATTTGAGGGTTATACATTGAGCAGAAGTGAAGATGTATCTTTCAGTTTTATGCACACCATACATTGTACACTAGCATGTGTAGAAATTGGTGCAGGTTAAAAGCATGCTCTGAAGCTGAACTCCAGGCAAACCACTACATACACATATGAGGAACATATATATGGGAGCTGTGTTGCTTGCCAAAGGATTTGTATTTCTGTCCATCCAGTCCTGAGATGTACACAGCTCTGCCTCACAGCATAGCCCCCTGTTTGGCAGCGAAGGGAATCTGGTCTTTTTTTTTTTGCTTCAGTTTCACTTTCATTTACAGGTCCCCTTCCCACCACCCCCACACTTTGACCAGAGAATATAAGGAGAAGCAGCACACTGATGAGCTCATCTTCCACTCTGCTCTCCCCTTCTATCGGCATGCTCCATGCACTGCAACACACCTACTGTCTGCCTGGAGCTCAGCTTTATGCTTGGATAGGAAGGCTCTGTTGCATCCACAGAACACGTTGATATCTAATCGCTGCCTTCGTATGACGTTTCTTATTAGCGTTTTGCGTTCCTTGCGAACACTGCATGCCTCTTAATCCTCCACTGGTCTGTGTTTGGATACAGGGAGTAATGCCATGACTCCGTGTATGTGGTTACAGATAATCCCTGCACTCCATGCACAAGTATCAGCCCCGTGTCCACGTCATCCGCAAAGATTTCAGCAGCGAGCTGTCACCCACCAAGCCCGTTCCCACCGGAGAAGGAGTGAAGACCTTCAGCTTTCCCGAAACTGTGTTCACGACAGTGACGGCCTACCAGAACCAACAGGTGAGGAGCCAAAGGCTAGAGTGTCCTATCCATGGTTTGTGAGAAGTGGCTTCTCCACTGCTGTAGCAATGTCCCCGCCATTAGGATGTCCATAGTTTTCTGGGAAGTGGCTTTTCTTCTCCACTGCTGTAGCAATGTCCCGCCATTAGGATGTCCATAGTTTTCGTGGGAAGTGGCTTCTCCACTGCTGTAGCAATGTCCCACCTGCTGTAGAAGTGGTTGTCCCAGTAGTACCATTAGGATGTCCACAGTTTTTGTGGCAAGTGGCTTTTCCAGTGCTGCAGTAATGTCCCACCATTAGGATGTCCACAGTTTTCTCAGGAAAGTGGTTTTCTCCACTGCTGTAGTAGTGTCCCACCAATTGGATGTCCTTAGCCTTCTGGGAAGTGGTTTCTCCACTGCTGTAGCAAGTGGCTTCTTCCTGCTGTTAGCATTGTCCCACCATTACTCCCATTAGGATGTCCTTAGACTTCTGGGAAGTGGTTTCTCTCCACTGCTGTAGCAATGTACTGCCATTAGGATGTCCTGTAGACTTCTGGGAAGTGGGGTTTCTCCACTGCTGTAGCAATGTACTAGGATGTCCATTGGGAAGGTCTCCATGTCCAATTAGATGTCCACTTCTGGGAAGTGGTTTCTCCACTGCTGTAGCAATGTCCTGCCATTAGGATGTCCATAGTTTTCAGGAAAGTGGCTTCTCCATTGCTGTCTCCACATTGCTGTCTGGAAACCAATGTCCCACCATTTGGATGTCCATAGTTTTCTGGGAAGTGGCTTCTCCACTGCTGTAGCAATGTCCTGCCATTAGGATGTCCATAGTTTCTGGGAAGTGGTTTCTCCACTGCTGTAGCAATGTCCCACCATTAGGATGTCCATAGTTTTCTGGGAAGTAGCTTCTCCACTGCTGTAGCAATGTTCCACCATTAGGATGTCCATAGTTTTCTGGGAAGTGGCATCTTCATTGCTGTAGTAGTGTCCCACTATTCGAATGCTTTCTTTGTAGGATATCCATAGCGTAACTGAGAAGTCGGAAGAGATTAAGCCTGACGTGTTTTTATCAGTTCAGAATATGTGTGTATAGAAGACTGAGTAGTGATTGTGGAGCTTCTATCTCCCGAACTGCAAGTTTAGGTAGTACCCTTAAATCTTCTTCTGTTCCCCTTTTTTATGTCTGTGAAGGTTCTCATTTATGTAGGTCTCGGTATATCTAGTAATCATTAGTCACGGTCAATTGGACTTGTTCTGTTGAAGATGTTTTTTTAGCTTCTCCAAACCACTTCTTCCATTCCAATGAATGTAGGAACATACCCTTGAATTTATATCCATACAGGTATCACACCTTAATCGAATCACCATGGTATGTCTCAAGGAAGTGGTTGGTTCTCCAAGAACAAGATTGGAGGTGTGAAAATTGCGAAACAAGGACACGCAGAGTAATATAGTCATCCTGTATGTAACTGGAATGCCAAAACAACTCAAAAGAGTCTTTAACAAATATCACATCCTTTTGTCCTTCAAGCCCTGCAGTACAGAAGCTTGTACAGTTGTGACCAAAATTATTCAACCCCCACTGAAATTGAGTGTTTTGGCCAGTTTGACATTGCTTTTGATCATTCAGTCATCTTGCTTACATTTACATTAAAGAGGCACTTGTAGGTCAGACAAATATAACATAACAGTTATAATGAAATAACCACAAATGTCTTTTCTGTGCCACAGCATTATCAGTTTTATTCAAACCCCAAGTGACATTCAATCTTAGTACTTAGTACAGCATCCTTTTACAGTTATAACAGCTTTTAAACGTGAAGCATAGCTTGACACAAGTGTCTTGCAGCGATCTACGGGTATCTTCGCCCATTCTTCATGGGCAAAGGCCTCCAGTTCAGTCACATTCTTAGGCTTGCGCACTGCAACTGCTTTCTTTAAGTCCACCAGAGGTTCTCAATCGGATTTAAGTCTGGTGACTGCGATGGCCACTCCAAAATGTTCCAGCCTTTCCTCTGCAACCATGCTCTAGTGGACTTGGAGGTATGCTTGGGATCATTGTCCTGTTGAAAGGTCCAAGTCTCCAAGCCTCAGGTGTGTGAGACGGACTGCATCACGTTTCCATCCAATATCTCCTGGTACTGAAGAGAATTCATGGTACCTTGCACACGCTGAAGCTTACCTGTACCTGCAGAAGCAAAACAGCCCCAAGCATGATTGACCCTCCACCATGCTTCACAGTAGGCAAGGTGTTCTTTTCATCATAGGCCTTGTTCTTCCTCCTCCAAACATAGCGTTGATCCATGGGCCCAAACAGTTCTAATTTTGTTTCATCAGTCCACAGAACACTATCCCACAACTTTTGTGGTTTGTCCACATGGCTTTTGGCAATACTGCAGTCGACTCTTCTTATTCTTTTGGAGACAGCAAGGGGGTACGCCTGGGAGTTCTGGCACGGAGGCCTTCATTACGCAGTGTGCGTCTTATTGTCTGGGCTGAAACTTCTGTACCCACATCTGACAAATCTTTTCTCAGTTCCTCAGCAGTCACACGGGGACTTCTCTCCACTCTACGCTTCAGGTAGCGCACAAGCAGTCGAAGTCAGCATCTTCTTTCTGCCACGACCAGGTAGCGTTTCAACAGTGCCCTTTGCCTTGAATTTGCGAATGATGCTTCCTAAGGTGTCTCTTGGTATGTTTAACATCTTTGCAATCTTCTTATAGCCATTGCCCTTCCTGTGAAGAGAAATCACCTCTCTCTTGTCTTCCTGGACCATTCTCTTGCCTTCACCATGTTTGTAACCACACCAGTAAATGTCTAGAAGGAGCTGAGTATCACAGTCATTTTAAAGCTGCCTATTTGGTGCTTATTATGCTTGATTGCTGCTCGGTGACATCCACAGGTGTTTTCAATACCTGATGGAAAGCACCTGTATGAACCTCTGTTCTTCAGAGTGGTAGTCTTTAAGGGGTTGAATAATTGTGGCAATGAAAAACCCACATAAGAACCATTTTACTACTGTATTACATAAACAATTGATGTCATTTTAGTTGCATTTGGGTAGTTACAACGTCCTTGTAGGATTTGATTCTGAATACAATTCCAAATGTACACTATAGTCCCAGAAAACCCCTTTACAGCATTGGGGGTTGAATAATTTTGGTCACAACTGTACATCCAAAAAGACCCAAACCCAAAGGAAATATCTTGGTATATGCAGCACAGCATAGTGATGAATGCAAAGACCCACACGTTGGAGACACAAAACCTCTCAACAGACGGATGGCCCAACATAGGAGGGCAAATTCTACAGGTCAAAACTCAATGGTCTTCCTACACCTCAAGGTAAAGGTACATTTTGGACATAGAGGACAACTGGTTTGCAAGATTCGTGAAAAAGCCATCTATGTCAAACTGAAACAGCCAACCTTGAACAGTGAACAATGTCAGGACCTTCAGGACATGGACCTTCATCTGTGTCTTCTCTTCAATGGACCTTCATCCATCCTATTGAATGAACCTTCAGGGTATGGACCTTCTGGATATGGACTTTCATCCATCTTTCTCTTGAATGGACCTTCAGGATATGGACCTTCATCTGTCTTCTTTTGAATGGACCTTCAGGATATGGACCTTCACCCATCCTCTTAAATAAACCTTCAGGGTATGGACCTTCAGTATATGGACTTTCATCCATCATCGCTTCGCATGAATGGACCTTCAGGATATGGACCTTCATCCATCTCCTCTTGAATGGACCTTCAGGATATGGACCTTCATCTGTCTTCTTTTGAATGGACCTTCAGGATAATGGACCTTCACCCATCCTCTTGAATGAACCTTCAGGGTATGGACCTCCAGGATATGGACTTTCATCTATCTTCTCTTGAATAGACCTTCAGGATATGGACCTTCATCCATCCTCTTGAATAGACCTTCAGGATATGAACCTTCATCCATCCTCTTGAACGGACCTTCAGGATATGGACCTTCATCCATCCTCTTGAATAGACCTTCAGGATATGAACCTTCATCCATCCTCTTGAACGGACCTTCAGGATATGGACCTTTATCTTTCTTCTTTTTAATGGACCTTCAGGATATGTACCTTCACCCATCCTCTTGAATGGACCTTCAGGATACGGACCTTCATCCAGACATTGGGCCTTTTGGTTTAAAAAAAAAAGGGAAGAAAATTCTTGATTCTCAACCCGATACTCTTTGCATCCCTACTCTACTCCAACTGGACTTCCATTAGGTCTATTCCAGCCGATGTTTAATCTTCTTCACTCCTGTTTGGCCTTCATCCATCTTCTCTTGAATATCCTTTATTAATATTAGGTACACAGAATATAACTGGATATAACATTTATAGGTAAAGTTGATCCAGGGAATATCCGAATTGCCTCTTGAGGGATCAGAAAGGAATTTTTTCCCCTGCAGGAGCAAATTGGATCATGCTGGTTTTGTTTTTTTTTTTGCCTTCCTCTGGATCAACTGTGGGTGTAGGATTATAACTTTTCTTTTTTATGGTTGAACTGGATGGACTTTTGTCTTTTTCAGCCAGATTAACTATGTAACTATGTATATTAACTTCACACTCAAACAGGTCCTTATCTCTTCTTCTAAACTGCTGCCAAGGCCATGTCTGTCAAGGTTCTCATTTATCCAGGTTTATAGTAACTGAACACAACCAACCCTGAACAGGGCTGAGTTCCTTCAGCGCCATCTGTCTTCCACATGTAATGACGTTTTACCAACTGTACTTGGAGATTTGACAACAATGAAAAACCAAGGATGGGATTATGTAACTAGAACAGGGGGTTCCACAACTTTCACACCTCCCGTCCTGTACTTGGGCAGTCAACATCTACTTGGGTAACCAACACCTACATTTCCAAGGTGTTGGTGGTACCTGTGAAGATCTACATGTTGGGGTATCTCCCTGACATTAAAACTGAAGAAGTGGCTTGGAGAAGCAACAAAACATCTTCCACACCACAGTCCAGTTGAACGTGACTAACTTCTACTAGCTGTATGTTCCGTGTTTTCCTTGTATTATGGACATGCTTTGACTTCTATTGTCTGTTGTTCGCTCCGCACTTTTTCGTAATATTCTTGTGATTCATTTAGTCCTTCTCTGTCTTTAGGGCTTTCAGATCTATCCCCCTATAAAATGGTAGAGCCGGGATATCTGAGCCAAATATTCTTTATTGTCTTGCTTGTTTACGGCATTATGCAAAGCAGATGGAACGCAAATGTAGAACATCTTTATTAGTTTAGAGAGGTTCCGTGATCCATAGTTGAATGAAATTGGTGGTCCCTGGGAAAGGTTTCGATGAAAGCAGATCATTGGAAACCCTGCGTTTTGTACTTTCATCTGTGTGCCTAAAATATTTTATCTATTCGCTAATAAAATAGTGATTTGATTTTAAAAAGTTTATTACGTTTATAATGTATCAAGAATTTTTCCAATAAGCACGAGATGTTAATCTTCTGGATCGTTGGCCTGAATTTAACCCACCTTGTCTCCTCTAAGGCAGCTGGAAGACAACGTTGTCCTGCAAATACTCACCATTGCCCCAATCAAACCAGCTTATAGTTTTTTGGGCAAATCCCAGCTTGATGGGGGGTTGGGGCAGGGGCACCTACCTACTTAGCCTTGGAGTAAGTGTACATGGACTTCAGACTTAGGAGCAAGTCCAATAAAGAAAACGATCATCTAGGCCAGGGGACTCCAAACTTCCAAAACAAAGGGGCCAGTTTACTATCCTTGAGACTTGGGGGGGATGTCAGGCTATGGCCAATGGGAGTAGAAAATGGCCTGGCGTCTAGTGGGAGTAAACAATGCCCTATCTTTGGAAGGATTAGCACACTATTGTTGGTGTCAGTGGGAGGAATAGTGCCCCATCATTGGTGTCAGTGGAAGGAATAGTGCCCCATTGTTGGTGTCAGTGGGAGGAATAGGGCCCCATCATTGGTGTCAGTGGGAGGAATAGTGCCCCATCATTGGTGTCAGTGGGAGGAATAGTGCCCCATCATTGGTGTCAGTGGGGGGAATAGTGCCCCATCATTGGTATCAGTGGGAGGAATAGTGCCCCATCATTGGTGTCAGTGGGAGGAATAGTGCCCCATCATTGGTGTCAGTGGGGGGAATAGTGCCCCATCATTGGTATCAGTGGGAGGAATATGCCCCATCATTGGTGTCAGTGGGAGGAATAGTGCCCATCATTAGTGTCAGTGAAAGGAACAGTACCCCGTCATTGATGTCAGTGGAAGAAATGGTGCCCCATCAATAATGTCCATGGGAGGAATTGTGTCCTTTCATTGGTCTTGGAATAGTGCCCCATCATTAGTATCAATGGAAGGAATTGTGCTCCATCGTTGGTGTCAGTGGAAGAATTAGTGCTCCATTGTTGGTGTCACTGGGAGGAATAGTGCCCCATTATTAGTGTCAGTGAAAGGAACAGTACCCCGTTATTGATGTCAGTGAAAGAAATGGTGCCCCATCATTGGTGTCAGCAGAAGGAATAGTGCCCCATCATTGATATCAGTGCAAGGAATTCTGCCCAATCGTTGGTGTCAATGGAAGGAATTGTGCCCCATCGATAATGTCCGTGGGAGGAATTGTGTCCTTTGATTGGTATCAGTGGGAGGAATAGTGCCTCATTGTTGGGGTCAGTGGAAGCAATAGTGCTGTGTCATTGGAAGGAATTCTGCCCCATGGTTTATGTCAGTAGAAAGAATTGTGTCATTATGTTGGTGTCAGTGAGAGGAATTGTGTCATTTCATTGGTGTCAGTGGGAGGAATAGTGGCCCATCATTGGTATCAGTGGAAGGAATTCTGCCCAATCGTTGGTGTCAATGGAAGGAATTGTGCTCCATCGTTGGTGTCATTGGAAGCAATAGTGCCCCATTGTTGGTGTCAGTGGGAGGAATAAAACCCCATCATTGGTGTCAATGGAAGGAATTGTGCCCCATTGATAATGTCCGTGGGAGGAATTGTGTCCTTTCATTGGTATCAGTGGAAGGAATAGTGCCTCATTGTTGGTGTCAATGGGAGGGATAGTTCCTCATCATTACTATCAATGGACGGAATTGTGCCCCATCATTGGTGTCAGTGGATGGAATTGTGCCCCATCATTGGTGTCAGTGGATGGAATAGTGCCAGATAAAGGTAAGCAAAGGTCAGTTTGGAGACCACTGATCTAAGCTTTCATCTTTGAGAGGTGTCTACATTGATGTTTGAGGTGTCTAAATGTTGCCTCTTTAATTGAACCCGGAACTAGAGCCAGCCAGCCACCATCAGTGATTCCAGGCTACTTCGGGATACCAGAATCCATGTTTGACGAGGGTGGGGGTGGGGTGATTTTACCTGTTTTCTCATGTGTAATACCTTCTAGATACCCCTCTAGACCCAAGATTGAAATGATGCAGGCTTGAATTGAATCTCAACCACAAAATGTCCTTTTGGATTTAGTAGTCCTTTTGGCACGTATACTTTGACTAAACATTATCATTTTTTTGCTCATGCCGTGGGTTCTTGTGGGCATTTGTGTTGGTCCCCAGTCCTGAAGCACCATCTTCTTCTAATGTTCTATCACAGGGGATGGGGGTTTCAGGTTTATGGGAAATCATTGAGGAAGGGGGCTTATGGAGTTTTGGAGAGTCACCATAAGCTTTTTTTTCTTCCAGATCACGAGGCTGAAGATTGACAGGAACCCCTTCGCCAAAGGATTCCGGGACTCGGGAAGGAACCGGTAGGTCAAAATATGGATTTGGATGAGAAAACTCCCCATGCTTAGTTGGTTGTTGGTGAAAGATTATTTTAGTTCTTCCATCCAATATGGAAATTTGATAAAAGAATTGCCCATGCTTGGTTGGATGTTTACGAAAGACTTGAGACAGCTGAAAAGATCAACGTTCGGTTTCTGTGTTGGGTTCTATGGAAGAAAAGTGCACTGTAGATGTAAGTGTAAGTTTTGAGATCCTTCAGACCTGACCTTGGCAACGTAACAGGACGCCTGTACAGTCAACGTTAGTCCATCAAAGTATGGTTCACACGTAAGGGCGACAGTGTTTGTGAGCAACAAAGGTATTCGTTACCCTTTTTTCGGGTCTGATATAGAACATCGAGGAGCCGCCAAGGGTAAGGAGAGCGATCGTTGAAGGGCTAGATGACGATCTGTAATACTAACCGAAGGAATGTTGGCCTTAAGACAAGAAGTCCTCATTTGCAAGTCCACTTTGATATGACATTTGCCGATCAAATTTTTTGACCCCTGTTTGACTCAAGAAGCTGTTGAAGGGCTCAACAACAATTGAGGGCTCCATTCCTTGTGAACTTTCTTTTTGTTTTGTATCATTAAAAAGCTAACCTGGAGCTCCGTTTCGTGACTTTTCCTAGACTGAGATGATGCCTTCAGTCTGCTGCAGGCAGAAGGAAGCATTTCCTCAGTCTCCTCTTCCTCAGGGATCAACTTTATAGCAGCAAGTCACAAGGTGGATATTTTTCAACACAGCCAAGAACTGTGTATTTTCTTAGAAGGCATCTCAGTCCAGGAAGTAGATGGTGACCATGGATGATGCCTGAACATGGTGCCTTGCTTATGAAGAGAAAAGATGAGGAAGGCATTGTTGGGGAGTTACTGTAATCTCTGTGAGAAGTAAAAAACAAATCATGGAAGTGTTAAGACGGGCACATTACTTGGCTTGGACTGATCCCTGATGTCCAATCTGCAGCTCAAGGGCCACATGTTGTCCTTCAGTGGTTGTTGTGCAGCCCTTGGACCTTAGCAGTTAGTGGAGCCATTGATTTGCAATGGGACTAAAATTGCAGTGATCACCAGCAGTCTCTTGTAGCATTTTGTGCACCATGTCTCCAGTCTCTAACCATACCTGTAGCATGTCCGCAGTCACTGACCATCCCCTCTGGTATGTCCACAGACAGTCTTCTATAGGCAGGGGCGGAATGACAAATCATGGGGCCCCTGTGTCCTCGCCAACACTCAAACTCCACCCAAAAAAAGGCTATGAAAGGTATCAGGGGCATCTCATGGCGCCCCCTACTGACCCCGGGCAGTGCCCGAATGGTCAGTCCCCCCCTGTCTATAGGAGTACATATTTTTTGACAAATTGTGATGTTGAGGGCCACAGTGGAGGTCCCTTACAGCTCGTAGGCTCACAACCACTGCCACAGATAATTTGTAGCTATTGCTCGATAAACCCAACAGCCACAAATTATTTGCAGCATTACCGCGATCTCTTGTTCCGCTGCTACAAATACAAAGAGAGACAAGAAAAGGTTAAAGAGCACCTGTCAGTTTAAATTTCTTCTTTTTCCGTGAGATAGGAGCCAGAGTACACGGCACAGGACAGGCAGACCATAAAATTCTACTTTAATTGGCTGCAGCACTCCGAAAATAACGTCTCAAACGATCGTTGGAGGAGAGCCGTCTGGCCTATAAATACTGGGAGCATTAAACGAGATTGCTATGCCCTACGGCCTGTCAATAAATCTGCGGAGTCGAGGAACACGGACAGACGCTGAACAATGCACGTCTTCTAATGGGCAGATTAGGATACCACGCAGCCAGGCAGTGTGGGCCTCACGTGAAGAAGTATATCACCAACACCGGGAGGGAAAAAGAAAAGAGCTCAGGAAGTGTTTGCAAAATCTAACTCAATTTATAACATTTTATACATTTATTTTTTTTACCAAAATCAAAAAGAATAGGGTTATCTTAAACGTTTTTTGTTAGAAGTCAACTGAAATAAATCATCAGGCTGCGGTAGAGAACCCTCATGGCAGTTGTAAGGCTCTCATGAGTTCACGGGAATAAAAGCAATGCCCCAGTTCTCTCAAAAAGGTAATATTTTGAAGGTCTGATTTACAAAAATAACCATATGTAGCCATGTCTGAACAATGTCGGGACCTTCAGTTTTCTATGGAATGGACCTTCATCCATCGTCTCTTGAATGGATCTTCAGAATATGGGCCTTCATCCATCTTCTCTTGAATGGACCGTCAGGATAGGGGCCTTCATCCATCTTCTCTTAAAGGTGCCTTCAGGATATGTACTTTTATCCAACTTCTCCTGAATGGACCTTCAGGATAAGGGCCTTCATCCATCTTCTCTTGAATGGATCTTCAGAATATGGGCCTTCATCCATCTTCTCTTGAATGGACCTTCGGGAGATGCACCTTCATCCATCTTCTCTTGAATGGACCTTCAGGATATTGACCTTCATCCATCTTCTCTTGAGTGGATCTTCAGGATGATTCATCTTCATCCATCTTCTCTTGAACGGTCCTTCAGTATATGGAAGTTCATCTATCTTCTCTTGAATGGACCTTCAGGATAGGAACTTCATCCATCTTTGCTTGAATGGACCTTCAGGATATGGAGCTTCATCCATCTTCTCTTGAGTGGATCTTCAGGGTTATGGAGCTTCATCCATCTTCTCTGAATTGACCTTCAGCATATGGAACTTCATCTATTTTCTACACGGTCCTGACAGGTGGTTGTTCCAGTTTGATGTAGATGGCGTCTTTCACAAACCAGTTCATCCTTTTTCTCTGAATGGATGGTTAGGATATTAACTTCATCCATCTTCTCTTGAATGGATCTTCAGAATATGGGCCTTCATCCATCTTCTCTTGAATGGACCTTCAGGAGATGCACCTTCATCCATCTTCTCTTGAATGGACCTTCAGGATATGGACCTTCATCCATCTTCTCTTGTATGGACCTTCAGGATATGGACCTTTATCCATCTTCTCCTGAATGGACCTTCTGGATATGGAACTTCATCTAGCTTCTACACGGTCCTGACAGTGGTTGTTCCAGTTTGATATAGATGGCTTCTTTCAAAAAACCAGTTCATCCTTTCTCTGGAATGGACGTTTAGGATATGGACCTTCATCCATCTTCTCTTGAATGGATCTTTAGAATATGGGCCTTCATCCATCTTCTTTTGAATGGAGCTTCAGAATATGGGCCTTCATCCATCTTCTCTTGAATGGATCTTCAGGATATGGACCTTCATCCATCTTCTCTTGAATGGACCTTCAGGATATGGACCTTCATCCATCTTCTCTTGAATGGACCTTCAGGATATGGAACTTCATCTATCTTCTACACGGTCCTGACAGGAGGTTGTACCAGTTTGATATAGATGGCTTCTTTAAAAAAAAAACAGTTCATACGTTTCTCTGGAATGGATGTCTATGATATGGACCTTTATCCATCTTCTCTTGAATTGACCTTCAGGATATGGGCCTTCATCCATCTTCTCTTGAATGGACCTTCAGGATATGGACCTTCATCCATCTTCTCTTGAATGGACCTTCAGGATAGGGGCCTTCATCCATCTTCACTTGAATGGACCTTCAGGATATGGACCTTTATCCATCTTCTGTTGAATGAACCTTCAGATAGGGGCCTTCATCTTTCTTCCCTTGAATGGACTTTTAGAATATGGGGGCCTTCATCCATTTTCTCTTGAATGGAGCTTCAGGATATGGAACTTCATCTATCCTCTACACGTTCCTGAGAGGTGGTTGTTCCAGTTTGATGTAGATGGCTTCTTTCACAAACCAGTTGTCCTCTTTGTCCAAAATGTGCACCTCACTGTCATCGAAAGGGCTGTCCTTTTTCCTTAAGATGTAGGAAGACTGAGTGTTGACCTGTTGAATCTGCCTTTTTATTTTGGGCCATTCTTTTGTTGAGGAGATGCTTAGTCTCCCAAACGTACAGGTCTTTGCATTCTTCGCTATAGTTCACGATATATATACTGATGTTACTTCACTTCTTATTGGCCGTTGGGTCTTTTGGATGTACAAGCATTTGTCTCAAGGCTACTTCATACCATGTGTAGAGATCTGTGTTTTCCTAACACTGGCCTCTACAAGGACATAAAGAAAACAATTATTTCAACCATCTTCTCATGAATGGACCTTCAGGATATGGAACTTCATCCATCTTCTCTTGAATGGACCTTCAAGATATGGAACTTCATCCATCTTCTCTTGAATGGACCTTCAGGATATGGAGCTTAATTCCTTTGTCTCTTGAATGGATCTTCAAAATATGGAAATTCATCCATCTTCTCTTGAATGGACCTTCAGGATATGGAGCTTAATTCCATCGTCTCTTGAATGGATCTTCAAAATATGGAAATTCCTCCATCTTCTCTTAAATTGTCCTTCAGGATACGGGCCTTCATCCATCTTCTCTTGAAAGGTCCTTCAGGATATGGGCCTTCATCCATCTTTTTTGAACGGTCCTTCATGATATGGGCCTTCATCCATCTTCTCTTGAACGTTCCTTCAGGATATGGGCCTTCATCCATCTTCTCTTGAACGGTCCTTCAGGATATGGAACTTCATCCATCTTCTCTGGAAGGGATCTTCAGGATATGGAGCTTCAGCCATCTTCTCTTAAATAAGTAATAAATTAATTAATAATATATGATAAATAAATACATAATTAACCCCTAACCCTAAAAAAAATATTAAAAATTGTGTATTATTAATAATAGTAATAAAAATAAAATAAATAAAAACCCAAACCCGAACAACTACAAAAAATACTAATAATATTTTTATTATTATTATTATATAATAATAATAATAATTAATACTAATAATAATTATTATCATTTATTATTATGATTAATAATAATAATAATAATAATAATAATAATGATTTTTGTTAGGGTGTTTATTATTATTATTAATCATAATAATACAAATTTA